TTACAGTACTTTGGACGCCTGTGTACTTAGCACTAGTTTCTAATACTGAAATGCATTGGGTCCACTTACACTATCGAACCACTCAACTTTGGAGGAAATCTTACTAATTTTGGGAGATTCTGGCAAAGTTGCGAACGAAAACCGCAAAATTTCTACTGCTCTAAGGACTGTCTCCAAAATATGTTGAAATTTTGTGGAAAATCCCCTAAATCTGAAACTAGGGTTTCACCCCAATATTTTCACACAATTTATACCCAAGTTACATAGAAATTGGAGAAGTACAATCAACTCATTAAGAAATCTTCGAAACTTATTTTGGGTGAGACCTTAGGATTGCCACTGAGTTTGAGGAAATCTCGTAATATTCATTATGAAGTTCCCAGATTTTCCACACATCACGGAGAAATTCCCCCAATTTTAACTGGGAAGACATGCCTCCTCTCCTTATTCGCAAATGAATTCTCATCTTTTCGCAAAATTATTCGTTTATTATTTGCCTCAGGAAAATAGATGGCACGGACCTTTCTACGTAGTACCATTAGCATACCTGGCTGGAAAAATTGCTTGACAATTAAATAGCTATATGGTTTTAAACGATAATAGCTAGACCCATAACTAAGGCTCGTTTACAATATCAATATATTGTCAAATTTTAAACATTTTTTAAACCTAAAACTACATTTTTAATTAAAATACTGACGCGTTATTAATGAAAATACATATATTTGAATCGAATCGTTTTTATACTAATATCATTTGGAAATGGGTTTTGGCTGATTTCCTAGCTTTTATCCGAGCTTACACGTAGATGTACCAACTATTGTTGTTTACCTATTGTACTCGTTTTTTCCTTGGCTTACCAAGGCTCACGCTTTGTATACTATTTGAACAGCATCCAACTGATTATATGGTGAATGCCCGGTCGCAAAGGTGAACAAATACAATCCAACCGTTTTTTCAAGGAGCTTAAATTTCGCTGTCGAAGCAATATACTTATTGACGTGTTATTTCCCGATAAATTCCAAGTTGTCAGAGGTCGTTTCGCAGTTGTTGAATGTAACTTAGCAATAGACGGGAGAGTGAATACAATGTCTGATTGGGAAAATAGACATCTTTGGGTTTCAAAGCCTGAACATACTAATAGCATTACTCTGTAGCGAATGCACGGAGACAGAGGTGACCAGAAACGTTCTTACCAGTCAGTCAACAACAACGTAGAACCTCGTACGTACGTACATCAGTTCAAGTTGTCATACCACATTAGCAGAGAGATATAATCGTCGATTCAAATGCCGTATTGGTAGAGGTAGTAAAAGTATAAGCAGTAATTGGGAAGATTAGGGTTTGAAGCTGATATTCAAGGAGTATAATCCAGTGAAATAATTTTAGGAAGAGAAAAATAGGGACATGAAGAATTCAGAAGATTAGAATTTGGGAGAACACAAAGCCAATGTTGTTAGTTAGTAAGCCACATGGGACGCAGAACTTAACAAATGTTCAAACTGGCACACTACATTAATGCTCATGAAATTCTCAAGGCAGATTGCAGAGTTGCAAGATCAATAGTAGTAGGAGACTAAATGTAAAAAAGGAGGAAGTATAAGATCTCAGGAACTAAGGGAATTAGAAGAGTGGACGCACTTACGCCATTACGAACAACCCCAAGTCATGTCACCACTTTGTACAAATTTAGGGGTCCGTTAATCTAACTCCAGTTCAAAATAACGAATAAGTGTGCCATGAATGTGAATCTTCCATTTAACTCCGTATATTGAACCTAGGCTGACCCTGTTTGTGTGACGGTGGTAATAAGCCAAATATAGATTGAACTGGGTTTATTTTATACACTTGTTTACCCAGGTGTCAAAAATGAGAAGGTAAGCGCCAGCTCCATTTAATGAAGCGCGTCTCAATATTTATACCTATACACAAATAAGCTAAAGAAATGTGATGAATGGGGTAAACGGTCCACATAAAAAGTCAACAGTAAGTGAATATTTGACAGGAACAAAACCCGACTGAAGGTTAATGTATAAATCGGTCTGCTCGGAAGCCAAACTAACCTATGTAGGCTTGATTTAGTACCAGACACTACAGATTAGAATTCTGGACTCCAACCTTACGGTCTTCATCCACCTGCATAGTTCGGTTGAATTCAGTCACCCCGTAGGTCAGTGTCGCGTTCTTCCTACCTACTGGTATGCCATTCAACATCAATCGAGGTGAGCGTAGTATAGGCACACGTGGTATGTGTAAGCAGTCACAATCGATGGAGACTCACTACCCCACCAGCCGATCTACCATATTTATCTAGTACTTTGCCCACAACCACAATGCCCACTCGATGAGCGCAATGTACACAAGACACCTGTAATCAAATAACTGCTATCTGCGAGCATCTTATAGTCGTGTTACGAAATCCGCCTTCCAGGTCGACCTTTAAATTTCAACCTGACATCGTCATATTCACGACATAAGACTAGGATGTTATCCTTAACATACTACATCAGTTAACAGTAAAACACAAGGTAGGTGTCGGACTGATGCACCTTAGTAGACTCACTACCAATTCAGAAATGCAAGCCCGGTGTGACTTACTGTGAGTTTGAAATAAGCTGACGAAATGCTACTAGCTCCAGTAAGTCCAGAACTTTGACAAGACACAAGAGAGAACTCAAGTTCGCAGTATAAAATTGTATTATTATTGCAGACTTAAGCACAAAATAAAATGCATAATTGCGTAGTAAATATATTAATTGTTCACTACATTTACTAAGCACAGTACAAAAGCAAAGCCAACATTATTTAATAGTAGCCCTAAAGAAGGTTTTCGAAGCGTCCTCTACTTTAAATGAGATGGAATTCACTTTGATTCACTGGATTTGGTTATAGCTTTTGTGCCTGTAGACGTGATGTGTTTCGTTTGCCCACCTGGTAATATGGAGCGTACGGGATTTTGGTGCACTGTTTCGGTGACAGTAAGTGTTTTGCTACTGCGACAACTCGTCGGAGTTTGAACTTCTCTTCTGGTAATAGTAGTACTGTGGACACATGACTTGCTCGTGTGATGATTAGTTGTAGTACGGACCACTGAGCTAGAAACACTCGATGTCTTACTGCAACGTGATGACCCGCCGGAACCCACTGACTTGCCTGATGCACCTTTGGATGGCATGCCTGTTAGGTAGATGCATACCTCTGTCAAACTTTTGAATTTATATTATAGTGAACCAGTAAGAGTATAGTACGCCGACAGCCTTGAGTTAACCAATAACGAATAAGACAACGCCTCTGCATTTTGCTGAAAATTTGAGGTACAGTGATGGATAACTTGTATGTTATTATCAACTGGGCAGACATCGGTTTTTAAAATACTTGAATCCAATATGGATATCTATTACATAGCCAAAAAGTAATTTTTGAATTGTCCTTGACCTAAATTACGAAACATGTCTGCGTCAACACCATATTATGCCAACGACTTCCAGCCAAATGAACCGACACCTGCTAAGCTAATATCCCTATTATATATTTCAGGTAATCAGTGAAGACAAGTCGCGCAATGCGCATCTGCTGTATGTTACGACTACTCCAATTTTCTAATTGTTATACGTTCTACATTAGAAAAATAAAAACATTACATTATATCCCAAGCTGGCAACTTTGGGAAATCCCCAAAGTGAAATAGCCTTCCCCAAAGTTTGGGGAAATTAACCGGATATCCGGTTAATACATACTTATTTCTTATGAAGATGATGACGAGGGCCGTGACACATCTAATGGGTCTGTCACCACATGTTCATTATGAAGGTATACCTTCATAATGGGTAAGCGAGCGCGTAGACCGGTATACCACATAAGATGCCCTTATATTACTAGTATTCCATCAGGTGTATTCGAGGTATTACTTGCATATCACAGGACATTCGAGTTAGCAACTGTGAGACTAGACGTAGAGATGGTGAGGACGTGAACTACGCATGTCCGTCCACCGACTACCATGATGTTTGGCATAAGTTGTAAGAAGGATAGGGGCGCACCGACTTGTTTCATTTGGTAATGTTTACAAGGACCCGAGTCTGTAGATTTATTACAAGGAAAAAGATCCCGTACTGTTTTAAAGTGTCACTTATTTTATGTGGTCTAGATGCCAAGAAGCTCGTATTTGACAGATTTCTTTCAACGGTTAACTTGGTAAATCAAAATAGGATCAGATTTACAAATTTATTCAGGAACAATTTCGTTAATAAAGGGATATCAGATAAGTATTTACAACTTTCACATTGATAATGCCAAGCTGTAGTCTGCTATTTTTTCTGAAACTAAAATGGACGTTCGGCCTGCTTTTTAGAAACTTCGGAGATGATTAGTACTGTTTTCCGTAAATAGTTCCATAGTTACATGATTCTGGCGAGAAACAGTTCGCATGTTCGGTGTGGGTTCACTCCTTTTTCATTCTAAATAAACAACTATTATTGGCTTTAGTCAACAATATGGACTTATCAGCGAACATTTCAACAACTTTCTCTTACTGTTCTTATACCACAAAAAAGAAAACTAATCAGTGCTCGTATACATACTTGTGAAGTAAGTAAATAAATAAATTAAATGTTCTTTTAAGCTAAGAATTTACACAACTGTAATTTACCAACATCATGTATATGAGTTAAAGATTAGGTCAGTCCTTACAACATATGCAAAGCATTACACCTATTACCCCTCGTCGACGAACATAGGGAGCCCACTGGCATTCTCCATCCCACTCTGTCCTGAACAGTCCTTTTCATGTCTGCTCCTAATTCCTGATGCGGTGTGTTCTTTGGCCTTCCTATTTTCCTTTAGGATTCTAAGTTAGCGCTTGCTTCGTGATGCAGTTTGATGATTTCCTCAATGTACTCGGTTACCATAAAAAAATTACAATAGATGATGAAACGCTACCGCGTGAAGCGGAAAAGCCGAAAAGGTAAATTGTTCAACTTACTAAATCACCTTTTTGTTAGGGCTGCTAAACGAAAATTTAACGATTATCTATGCGCATTCGAAGAACTAGAGGTTGAAGCTGGGTTCGCCCCCCTCGACTTTCCAGTTTTCAACGTTTTGACAGGAAAATTTTTGCCTATAGCGAAGTAGGTACCTATTTAATATATGCTCATAAAGTAGTTCATCGGAAACAGAGGTTTTCTCACCACTGCTTCCATGTACATCAGCGGAAGTTAATAAACCGTAAGTTGGAGTTAATGTAAACATGATAAGAAAAGGTTGTACAATGATGACAGTAAAACATTGAAAATGATTCTGAAAGCAGTCACTGAACTGTCTAGCAAGATAGATAAACTGATCGCTTACAATGAACGCTCATTCATGGGTGTAAAGGACAGGTGTACCGACCAAGTAGACAATTCAACTATTGCTTTCCGATTAAGAACAAATGAGGAGTTGCTTTAGATGAGTTAAAGTTCCGTGATCAGTTCGTAAGTTGTAACAGGTGTTTGAACAAATTATAGGTGGCAAGATTGTACGAGTTTATATGTGATGACCCTCGTAAACCAGCAAAAGCCTGTCTAAGTTATCTGTTGTCGCCGGAACTGGCGAACACGTACACTTTACACGGAACGAAAAGTAAAATTGGAATTAGTAAGTACAAATTTTACCGGACGATTAGGAGTAAGACCACATTACAGTATTAATATATTTGTAGGAGTCTTTTGTCCCCGATTCTGAAGTGCTAAATATCCTGAAAAAGAAGTAGAGCACGCCATGGATGTTGCAAGCCAGGGTTTCTCGCACGACGCCAAAGATAAAGTTCAAAAGCGTGGATCCCGATCCGAAGAAACGGCAAGCTTAATGCACTTCAGAAGTCTGATTAAAAACGGTTTTTGTTAACATTTTAGTCTATGATAAACATTTACAGTGAAACAATTATTTCTTGTCCATCTTCTTTTCAGCTGGCTTCGCAAGTTTTAACAGACGTAACTGTAAGTTTTTTTGCTCGCATTATTAACAACATTGTTACGTCATCGAGGTTTTACATATCATGACACTTGCTTGTAAACTAAAGAATATTTTTTATTTCTGTAGAACATTGTGAATGATAGTTCAACGTCTACGTAACGTGCTTACGTTACTAAGCAATGAGGAAAAGATGTATTAATGAATTATTTGTAATTTTATAAACCGTAATAAACATTTCAATGTGTCACGAATCAGTCTTTTAATTGCAACGATAGATCGATTAGCGTTAAGTTTCTTTGGCACTGCGTAATTGACTAGAAATAATGTAATATCGCAAGAAAAACTGTAGGTACTTATTCTCGCTTGGCTTTTCCATGATATCTGTAGAAATTTGTTGCGTTAAAAAGAGTTTGCAAAAGCTATAATAGGATTATGGTGAAATTTTGAGAAAAAACGCGAAATCCAGGGGACATTTAGGGGAAAAACGGTAAATTTCGGGGTTTTATTAATAAATATAGGCCGATCGGCTTTGGGGAAATTGATTTCCTCAAAGTGTAATTAGATTCTGGGGAAATTTCGGGGTTTTTGTGCCATTTTCCCAAAACGTCCTATAGCGGCTCCCCCGAAATTTCCCCAAAATTGGGATATTGGGTTATGTCGTTCTGCGTTTCAAACGTTGCTGAATTGTCTGCTTTTCGTCTAAATACACGCCGATTTATATAATTTGGCTCCGACTTTTAAAACACCTTTGGCATAACCCCAAGCGTCTCCTGTGATCGCCATTATTTCCATAACACACCACACGAAAACTGCAATCGACTTTGAAAGTGGTACCTTTAGAGAAATTTATTGGAAAGGAAAAAACGTCATATGCTTTTCGGTCAACAGACATTCAATATCCTGCGTAGAAAAGTGTTTATAAATACATGCACTTGTTTGATGATTGTTTTGATAGTTCTTTAAGTTTTAGCTCCGTACAGCAGAATTGTCTTGGTTTTCAGTTTCAGTTTGGGAAGGACAGGAGGCCTGATGGCCTGTGTTAGTCCTGGCAATGGTGGTCCCTCAGTTGATCCAACTTTCTTTTGAAGGAATCGACGGATAGAGCCTCAACCACGTGCTGAGGTAATGAGTTCCACTCGTTGATGATTCGATGGGAAAGTTGATAGTCAGCTGACAAGTAATTTGTTCTTGGCTTGTGAACTTTTTTGGAGAGTCCTCGTAAATTCTCTGTTTTGGAAGACAAGAAAAATGAGGGCATATCAGGTGCAAATTTGGCACTAAGCAATTTTAAAACTGTAATCAAGTCGCCTCTAGTTCTGCGATATGACAACGGGAAGAGGTTCAGCTTGGCCAGTCGAGCTTCATACGGAAGCTTCGCTATTCTGGGAATCAGCTTAGTTGCCGTTCTCTGAACCTTTTCCAGAAGCTCACTGTCTTTTTTAAGCAGGGGCTGGCCGCTTGTATGGAGTACTCAAATTTAGGGCGTACGAACACTGTATACAAAGTCCAAAACGTCTTAGCGTCGACATGACTAAAAGCCCTACTTATTGACCATAACGTTCTAAAACCTTTGGCGGCTATTGCACGGCAGTGTGCAGTAGTCTTTAAGTCTTGGTTAACGATGACTCCTAAGTCATTATATGTCTGGACGACAGGTAGCTCAGTGTTATTCATCGTGTTTGTATCTGTACCTTGATGACCGATATGCATCACAATACACTCGGAAGTATTTATCGGCAACTGCCAGGTTTGAGACCATTCAGATAATTTCTTCAGGTCATTTTGGAGGTCTAAGCTATCACCCTCACATCGTATCGTTTTCCATATCTTGACATCGTCAGCATATAGCAAGACCGATGATGATAGGAGACGAGGAAGGTCATTTACATACAAGAGGAATAGCACTGGCCCCAAAATTGTACCCTGGGGCACTCCACTAAGCACAGTTCCCCAGCTAGATAACTTTGAGTTCACCCGAACTCCTTATTGACGCCCAACTAAGAAGTCTTTTATCCACATAAATAGATTGCCTCCAATCCCGACATTTCTTAACTTATATAGCAGCCGGTTGTGCTGAACTTTGTCAAAAGCTTTACTGAAATCAATGAAGGCTACGTCTACAGGTAACTTTTGGTCCTTAAGAGCGCACCAGCTTTCACGAGCCACTAATAAGCTAGTGAGACAAGAGTAACCTATTCTGAAACCGTGCTGCTTCTCCAAAAGGATCCGGTTTTTATCGAGATACTTAAACAGCTCCTTCCGAATAATCTTTTCTAAGATTTTAACAACCACACTAGTTAGGCTGTTTTGAAGACAGGACTTACTATGGCGTTTTTCCAGTCTTTGGGTAAACGACCCTGCGTTACGGATAGGTTAAAGCATATACTTGAAGGGTTCGCAACGAAGTTAGATAATTCTTTCAGTAGCCTAGGATGTAATGCATCGGGCCCCGTGGATTTACCTATGCCAAGTTTATTTAGTAGACCAAAGACATCGAGTTCTTTAATGGTCACGCTACCCAGTGTATGTGTGGGGGATCTGTATGCGCTGATGAGAAAGGTGCTTCTATGGTGTATACATTGCTAAAGTAGTTTGAGAACATTTGAGTCTTACCAAAGTCTTCCTCCACTAGTGACGCGGCAGTACTGTCTCCCCATAGAGCAGGAATGTTTCCTCTTCTCTTTGTCCTTTGGTTTACATAAGAATACAAGCGTCTAGGACATTCTATGGATTCCTTAACAATCTTTTCTTTGTACAACTTTCTAGACTTACGGAGGGTCGAGGCACAAGTATTCCGGACTTTTCTATACTGGGATTTAGTTTCATCAGCCCCCAGTAACCTAAATCTATCCCACATTTTTCTTCTCTTACGGAGAAGGATGCGGACCTCCCTACTGAATCATTGTGGGAAGTTTCTCGGCCCCCTTGGTATAGTCCAAGGGATGTGGGGTGTGGTAACGTTTAAATATGCATTTCGAAATGCGTCCCAGCCCGTTTCGACTGAGGACTCTAGGTCTATTGTCCAATCTACTAACGATGCTGAGTGCATGATATCTGGTATATTTGCTTTCCAGACATTGGGTCTGGATTGGGCTGACGCGTGCTCGTGACTGACAGTTATATGGAAGTCGAAAATTAAAACTGCGTGATCACTTTTACCTAGGGGTGGCATATAATGAAGGTTCGCAACGTCATCCACATAGTGAGTGAGTATCAGATCTAGTAAGGATGATTCAGAGTCCGGGTCGTACCTAGTCGCTTCTTTCACATGTTGCACTAAAGCAAATGTGATAACCGCATCAACTACTTCCTGCTCGAAGGAATTTTCTGAAGATTCAGTTCCCAGTCTATCATAGGTGCATTAAAGTCCCCTAGGATTAGACATCGACCACTTTGTGACCAAGTATTGAGACGGCTTAGCAGGACTTCATTTACCTCACAGCTTGGACTGCGATAGACCAAACCAATCAGCAGCTCTTGTCCCTTGCATTTCAAGCGAAGACTAACTAATTCACACGTCCCACTCTCATGGGATACACTGTCGATAATGGCAAATGAAATAGCATTCCTAATGAATAGAGCTACTCCCCCTCCTTTAAGCTTTTGTATTCTGTCGGCCCTTACTAACGTAAAACCCTGGAAATCAAGTTCCATACTATTTATAGCCTGTGTCAGCCAGGTTTCTGTAACTGCGATTATGTTTGGCTTTGTAGAGTCAACCTGTACACCTAGTTCCGATCGCTTATTAATTAAGCTCCGGGTATTAGTGTAGCAGATCCGAAGCCTATTTAAGTGGCTTCGTGCTTCACCCAGAGTGGCTTCGGCATCATTCTCTGTCGAAGCCTTACAACCCGAAAATTTACAATTTTTAGGTCCTTTTCTCCAGCGTCTAACCTAAGTTGTAGTTCTTTTTCGGCTTCCTGTCTTTTTACACGGTCTTTCAGCGGTAAGTCCTTTAGTATAAAGACTCCTGAACCCTTTAATTTGTGTCCATTCTGTAAAATTAGGTTACGTTCGTTCGAAGAGTTGAATACTACTTTAAGCAGTCCGGAGTGATTTGGTTTCAAGTCCGCTAGACTCCCTAGTCTGTACACCTTTAGCAGGGTGACGCCGGTGATATTTTGAGGCATGAGTTGACTAAGCAGCTGCTTAATCACCACAATGTCATGCTCAAAACGAGCTTTAGGTTCAGAGCTCTTGCTCTCCTTGATTCTATGAAAAATAGCTGAACTGTCGCTATGATCAGCTTTTGATTTTACGGCTACTTTTGCGGGGGTAGGATTACCTTTTATATCACTACTTTTTTTCTTCCTTGCAACCTGTACCCAGTCTTCAACGGTGCTGAGAGAAGAAACCACAGTTGCGTCAAACACAGTGTTGGATTCTGGAGGGTTTTAGACGACCTGAGAGGTCAGGTTATGTTTACCACTTGAAACCGATCGAGCCTTGCGATTGCGGCTTCTAGGCGTTTCCTGTGAGATCCCGTCTGGGAGACGAGGAACAGAAGAACTTACTTTACTTGAGCTTTTATTTAAGGCAGGCCTCTTTGGAGACTGCTTTTCCTTCTTTGACCGGCGTGAGTCATTTACTATCGAACTAACCTTAGTTTGCTTCATTTCGATTTGTGTGTCGACAGATCGAGTGCTGTTTGACGTGTTCCGACTACGCTTGCTAAAACACTTCTTTGCAGCATCAACCAGTGAGATGGCCTC